AAGCACTTTCTAATATTTTAAATCTGTAAAACTCTTGCATAATACATTGAATTCTTTCCTCTTTTTTAAATTACAGTGGAAAACCTCAAGATACGAGCTCCCCAAATCCGAGATATGAGGAAAGTCGGAGAGAAAAATTTGTCTCTAAATATGAGCAATGACTCGAGTAACAAGCGATGAGCCAGGCTGTTAGTATGCATGGCACCATTTCACGATCCGGGTCTACTCGAAGAATCTCCTCTTCAGATCACTCAGTGTTCTTTGATTTGTGTTTGTGCGCTTGTGAGTCAATTGTTTATTACATTTAACGTGAAAATAATTAATCCACGATGCCTCCCAAGACAACTTTTGCCTCAGGTAGTGCTGCAAAGAAAAATAAGGAAGCCATGGCCGTTCAAATTAAGAAAGAAATCCTAGATTACACATAAGCGTGGTGTAAGAGTGACGGATGCACTATTCTGAGGAGGAAATTAAGAAACTTGATGTAGCCAAAAAGGAGTTACCGTTACTTCCAAGCACAATCCCAAACTCCTAGATGTTGAGAAGCTGTTGTTGGTGTGGATTAACGAGAAGCAGTTAAAAGGTCTGTGTCGGAAGCTATGACAAAGATAAACTACGGTTGCATTATTTACCAGTGTTATTTAATAGAAGAATTGATTGTTATGTTGATATTTTTGGGGCTGCAGAATGGATTAACTGGATTTCCATTGTTTTCAATGAGGAAGTTTGTTTCTAGATGAGAAATTCACTATACGAGCTCAGTACTGGAACGAAGTAAACTCGTACCTTGAGGTTCCACAGTACATCTTTTTTCCTTCTTAATTTACATAACAACCATCAATGAAAAAATCACTTTCTTTAGCTTTTTCTCAAAAATGTTATCAGTTCTAGAGTTTGGGCATAGGTTTTCCTAATAAGGGAATTTATTTATGATGCTGTCGCTCAACAGAGACACTGATTTAAGTGGAAATTGCAACATCTTATTTTCACGGAAGGAAAAAATTATAACTGTAGTTTCAAAACCCATCACAATTCTCTAGGATCACAATCAGAAAAGATGATTTTTAATTAAACAAAATAATCTATCTTAAGTCTGCTTGCGCTCATCGGAGAGTAAGCAAAACAACACAGGAACAACATTAATCTCGTTGGAGGTCCTCCCAATCAATAACAGCATGGATAGTATAAATTTGAGAGAAAACTTTGAGCAGCTTTTAAAAGTTCCATATATATGTATAATAAGTCTCTTTATATAAATAATGTAAAGCCCATATATATATGGCTTTACATTCTTTACATTATTTATATAAAGAGACTTATTATACATATATATGGAACTTTAAAAAGTCTCTTTCTTTTTCTTTTCTTAAGTCTCTTTCTTTCAAATGCCAAAAATCGTTTGACAATATGATTACACACTGCAACGTGAACTGTTTGTTCAGACAATATTAGCGGTGGCGGGAAACTCATTAAAATCAGATACAAGAATATGCATTTTTATCAAATTCTTCTTGATAGAAAATGTAAAATGAATAAATGAAGAAATAAATTCTAAGCCAACAAACTTTATTTAAATTAATGATAACAGTATACTAAATAATTCAAAACTACAAGTCTTTAATACAATTTATAATTTGCTGGGAATTCTGTTATAAATTTTGGTTTCAAGCAAGTTAATAATATAATTTTTGCATTCAAATAAAATGAACGAATTTAGAAAAATAACATTTAGCTCTTAAAATAAATGTTTTAAGATTAATCTGATAACAGAAAACTTTGCTATGATAAATATTTATCATTGACAAAAGTATTTTAGTGGGAAAAAAACAAACTTCCATACTAGCACAAATCAAAAATTTTCGGGCATTAGTTTCCAATATGTTAACAAAATAAAAGTACATTTGGTATTCATTATACTTAGAATTTTGTACAAATAATAATAACTTTTCAATGAATTTTCATATTTTTGTACAATAGCACTTATGTGTATAATAAATTCATTTCAAATTTAGCAGAAAGAATTACAATTTTCTGGTAAAAATTCTACAATTTTGGGTAAGTAAAATAAATATTTCATAAGTAATGCAAAATATTACAAATTGCTTATCAGCAAATTTATTAGAAATATGCATATTTAATTCTCAGTATTAGGGAAGATACTCTCTAAACAGCATGGATTTATTACCATTATTTTCAGTATATATGTTTTTTTTTTGGATTATATGAATTGATAAATTATAAGAAATAACCTTCAATAGAAAACAAACTAATTTATAATTGACTAAATGATAGCAAAGGCGAAGTACATATTAATAATTATACGAGAAAGAAAATAAAAACAATATACCAAGAGAGTCCACAACAGTTTTTGCTATTGAATAAGCAAGTTAACATAACTCATAAATGAATTATATCCAGCCAAAATAGTTTTTCACTGTAATATTATTAAATAATGAAAAGATTTATAATACAAATAAATTTTGGTAGGATGGGAAAGTTTTTTATATTAATATCAAAAAAATTTTTAAGAAATAAATTTTGAAAATGAAAAGACAAAGAATTATACATAGTTCATTTCAAATTAAATAATACAGAGAAAATATTGTTACAGAGATTTCTTTACTATAATTATGAAATACTTCTGAAGTACTCTGAATTTTTATCTGAAATATTTGAAATTGATTTTAAAATTATGCAATGTTTTTACTATTTGAAATTGTGAAATATATTTCAAAATAAAATTTTTGAGAACCTGCATCCTAGAAATGTGATAAACTCACATGAGAGGAAAATTAAAATTTCTTTAATATCTGAAAATCAAAATAAACAATTTTTTAAATTATTATGCAATATTGAAATCACTTAATGCATAAGAACTGATGATTCCCATTCTTTATAAAAAATTTAAAAACTCAGAAATGGATTTTGAAATAAAAGTACATCATTCATTAAAGAAATATTACTCATCAATGTAACATTTAACTGTTAATGAATGGCCCAGAGATTATAATGAGTACTAAAACAAATGAAAATATAAAAGCATTTTTTAATGTATAATGATATAAAATGTTAAAGGTAGTTCTTAAAGACTTTGACATTGCAATATAAATTGGTAAGCAAATAAGTACTGTAAATGATTGAATTGTGTACTATAATTTATATTAAATTAATTTCAAACAGAAAAAAATTCGTTTATATCATACGCAAATGGCATACAGCATGCAATAATTTAAAATTACTGGCAAAGATCAAATAAAATTATTCCTATGAATTAGCATTATTATTTTATGGATTCTCATTGGATATTCAACTTCATTTTAATATAGCTACGATGCACTTGATATAGATTTTTTTTTTTTTTTTTTTTTTTTTTCAAATTGTTTTAAGCTTTTATAATTTCCAAGAATTTATCAAAATATAATAATTTTCTAAATTTCAACTAGTGAACGTAAATATGTCTTTATTGAAAACGTTACCTCATTTAAAAATTATTTTGAAAACTTAAACTATTATATATTATATTCCCATCTTTGAGGATAAAGTAAAAGTAAATAAATAACTAAATAAAAAATGAATTTATAAATTCCTTATATTGCAAAATAAAATTTTAGAAAATATACACATTTTAAAAGAACATAAATGAAACAAAAAAAGGGGGGGATTTATTATAATCATTTATATATCATTAAATTTTCCTATATATTAATTAAATCTCATATATATTCCAAAGTACTTTTACATACTATTTTGAAAATAATGATAGATTTACAAAGAAGTAAACAATAATTTAAGAAAGCAATTTTATATTTTTTAAGTCAGCTGCTTAAAAATACTACAATAACTAAGCATGAAAAAGGATAGGTTACAAAACTTTTCTCATATTGCAAGCTGAGTAAGTAATATTATTGTTCTGAAAAGAACAATTCTCAATCATTCCTCAAGTTTATGAAAGCAAAACAGAAGAAAATAACTGCAATAAATACCTATAGGAAATTTAAACATAATATGACATTTCAAATAATTACACATGAAATATATTTAACTGTGCATTATATTCAAATGAAATAACAATAATAATATGTAAAAGAAATCAATGTTCAGGTACAACGTTTAAAGTTTTTGTTTATTAAATATAGGAAGATCAACATTTGTTGCAGCTGCCATTGAAGCAAGAAGACCAAGGATACTATTAGGTTCTATAGCTGAAAGTAAAAAGGTAAATAAATAAGCATTTTGGTAAAAATTGCATCTTTATAACAGCCATAAGAAAAAAATTCAAAATGAAATTATAAAAATTTGTAGCAAGGACTTTAACCCTAGAAAATATTTTAAAAAACAAAATGACATAATTTATTAATAGCATATGCTTTATTTTCTTTCCTTCTCCCGGCTTATAGGTTAGCAGGATTAAAGTTATCAACATTTGAGAACTAAAATGATATTCTTCTCAACAGATGGCGCCACACAATGCTTCACTTAACAGTCCAAAAAAAGTTGAGGCTTTAATTCTACCCTAATAACTTAGGCATTTGTTTAAGTACTACTTAGCATATTTATTCCGTTTTCTGGTTTTTGTTGAGTTTTGGCATTATGAAAGAGTACATAATTGCTTATACCTTATTTTCAACTTTCCAGAAAGTCTACAATGATAAAAGATTTTCACATTTTAGTATTAACGATTTATAGCATAGGAAATTGCAATAAAGTTAAAAGATTTTCTACTACATAACTCTACAGTTTTAAAACTAAAACATATTTAAAATTTCAACTGCATTTAGTTAACTTCAAAGCAAAAACTATTACTGTCCAAATTTATCCCAGAATAGTGTTTTGACAGCATAACAAAATATTACATGAGATCTTTTCATTTATTTTAATCACAAACTTTAATGAAAAAAAAATTTTTTTTTCCTACATACTATAACCAAACTCAAGTCTACATACTACTCTTAACTGAAAAGTACTAGAAACGATTTGTTAAAATATGCACATGTAAGAAATTGTTTACAATCTTTTTCAGATATTGCTGGGACTTTCATGAATACCTGACAACAAGGCACATTTTATTTTCTTTTAATTGTTTGCAAATAAATCTGAATTTTAAAGAATATTTATTTTTGTGATTTCCCATGATTTTCGTGACTATAACTTAGCAGAGAACATGCATTAAGTTTTGTTCTCCCAATAGAATTTTGGCTAAAACATATTATGAATATTGCAGTAAGCCCTCGAAAACAACACATTAATAATAATAAAAAAGAACTGAGCAGTATAAAAAGTTTAAGAAAGGTATAAAATGCACAATATAAGAAGTTAATCCAATAACGCCCCTTATTGTTAAATACTATGGGTATTTAACAATAAGGGGCATTATTGAATTAACTTCTTATATCATTTGGATCCTGTTAAGCAACTCTGAAAGCCCACCTGGGCTAGTGGCTCATCACTTCTCAAATTGCTTAAAAAATATTGATTTTTTTCCCAATTGCAAGGGAAGTTCTTAAAATATGCTGCCATTGGTGAAATTATTGGTCCTGATAAAAATCACTAGTGATGAAAAATGGAGCTATGTTTTTGATAAAAAAAAACAGCTCAACTATCAAGTGAATGGTATTTGAAATATAAAGCAAGACCACATCAAAACTGATCAAAAAGCACGCTAAAAGAATAGAATACTTTCTTTGATTTTTGTCATGTTCAATTGTCATTATAAATTTTTACCAACAGGCTAAACTGCCAACAAAATATTAATGCAATGAATACTGTTCACCTGCTATATCATTGTAAGTTTCTCTATCTCCAGTGTTAAAACTGCTGTTTGTGCTGACCGATGTTGAGTCTATTGATGCAATAAAGAAAACTCACAGCAAGCCCTGAGAGTATTCTTCAAAAAATACTTTTAAAACATATTTCAGGAATTGAAGGAGCAAAACATTAGTGCAATGCACTCAGAAAGGGATGTAATAAATATTGAACAAAAATTGAAATTTATATTTTATGGAATAGTTCTTTTAATCCCAACATTATTTAATTACAAAAGAAGGTGACTGCTTACGTAAGATTTCTCAGAAACCAGCTCCCATCAGAGTCCACACTTTTTATATACATACATTTTATGCTAATTTAATGAACTTTTGATTAAAAACTTGGTGACTTAAAAGCTTTGCGTTTCCACTCTACAAAGCGTAGGATATATATGTTTCAAATTTAATCATAAATTTCTGCAATATTAAAAAATTGAGTTGCCGCTCGAGAAAACGCAATTACATTAATTTGTCTCAATAAAAAATTGACTATCTAAGAGAAATGTGTTGCCACTGACCAAATTAAAATATTTTAAAGTATGTTATTGTTCAACAAAGCGTTAAATATTTAATTTTTTATGAATTAACATGCGCATTTTCTTTACTTTCTGAAAGTGAACAAAGCATTACTTTCATTGTGAAATCAGTTATGCCATTAAAACTTAAATTGACTGCTCGATCTACACCTCAAGCATGAAAGAAAAAGGCATCACAAGTTTTAGAAGCAAATCAGCAGTGGGGAAGCAAGACTGGAAAAAGTTCAAGTATGGACTGCTCAAGCCTGTTCGTATGAAACAAACACGCAATGGGAAGCATGACTGGGAAACCTTCAAGTACACACTGATTGATCTAGATGAATAGTGCATGCTGATTTAAATCTTGGTGCGTTCCATTACTATGTTAATTGTGATTATAGTCTTCATCCAAATGTGGTCGTTGGAAACATGGATATATTATGCATGTATTACAGAGCCCTCAAATTTAAGAATGAAGCACCAGGAATGTGTTGTACAGGTAGAAAAGTGAAATTGCCATAATTAAATTCACCAATGGAACCATTATCAACTTTGGTATCAGATGACACAGGCAAATCCAAATATTTCTTGGCAAACATATGCAAGTACAATTCATATTTCCAAATGACATCATTCAGTACAACAAATACTATGTGTGAGAATTACATGCCAACATTTAAAGTGCAAGAACAATTTATCATCGTGCAACCCCTGCCAAATGCTGACTACAAATTTATTTCATGGAAAACACCGATGAACAAATTGCTTAGCATTGTCAACTAAATACAGACATTAAACAAGAAATTGTTTTAAATTATTAAGGAAAAGTAAGGAGTTCTCCTTCTCCCCAGGCTTCAACATCATTATTAACAAGGAAAAACAAAAAATGTGCATCCAAAAGCACTTCAATAAACAGAGTTAAAACATAAACACTCTTTCCTTTCAGTAGCACTGCAAACCATGCCGAGCAACAGCTAGTCAATTATAAAAACTGGGAGGGCAGATTCAACTTTTCAATGTTTTCAGATAACTGAAAATCAATAAAACAGATCAGGAACTGCTGAAATACAGCTCAATTTCTAAAAAATAATTATTCTTTACACTTTCATTTAGATGTAATCACAGATAATTATAAAAAAATTACATCTTTATTGATAATTTTCCCATCACAATTGTTTTAATTACTAGCTGTCTAGAACAGTTATTATATAAAAAAGAAAAATATATGTTTTAATGAGTTCAATTAGGGTAATTTCTTGGGTCAATTAGTAATAATAATTATGAAGATCTGCATTTATTGCTTTTAAATTACTTAAGTTTGTTAATAATAAGAAAATAATTAACTTTAAAAAATTAAATATCTTACAGTACACTGGCACATGAAAGATAAATATGAAACAAATAACAACAAATTTGCAATTTAAAATTCAGGCTTTGAGGTGCACATGTTCAGGTGGAGGGCAATGAGTGTTTAAAATCTAGTGGCTGTAGGTGCTGCCATTTATCTTGTCATAATGTCCCGAAATTACATACATACACACAGATTCTTCATTATTTAATAATAGAGAAAGTATAACCAATGTTATAAAAATATAAGGAACAAAAAATTATTATTGGTAAGCCCTGGGATAATTACCATTCTTACTGGTTATCTTCCAGTAAATATAGAATTTTAGAATATCTTGAAAACATTTTAGCCTTTAAAAAATCAGCTATATAAAAAAACTATTTCATGAAAATTGAACTCAAGTAATGGTCTGAATATCTTTAATAACTTTGAGTTAGACATATTAAAACACAAATCAAGACTCAGTGCATTGATTCTATTATGTGTTCTATTCAGTGCATTTATTTTCAATATAACAAAATGTTTAGAAAAGTAGCCACAATAGCTAAAAGGATTTGAGCACTTAATTAAATGTTCTAGTTTTTAAATAACAAAGATAGTGAACAATAAAAAACAAAGATAGTGATGTTGAGTTCAGTTTCTAGTAGAGACATATTTCACAGTGTTCCATGGAGGAAGGATTTTTGCACATTTGAAACATAAAGCCTTTTTGTTCACTGCTATTTCAGAACACGAAAATGCTAAAATGTGCCAATCTTCAACACACAAAAAAAGAGATATAATGTTATCTAGAAACATTACATAAATGTGAGGCATTAAACACAGTAAATCTGTCTTGGCGTTAGAAAAGCCACTGAGTGACTTTTTAATTAAAACACAACAACAATCTGGCCATGCACAGTATACTTACGAGTATTTGGATCCAACCATGAGGCTGAGTTTTCCACATCTTCGAATTGAAACGTATCTGAAGAAGGTGAACTGGGCAAAACATTACCAGTATCCCCTTGTCCTCTCTCATTAAAAAATGGCATAGATGGCTGAGATTTAAAAGTTGGGTAAGAAGCTGCTTTAGGTGGTGAACAAAAGTCCAAATTTGAGGCTGTAATTCAATAAGTAACTTCAATAAGTAAATGTATAAAAGAAAAAGGTGAGGTGAAAAAAGGAAATAAAAGCATTTCTTTAATAACAAACTTAAACAAAATCCTTCTCTAAATTAATTACAAAAAAGTATTTCCAATTTTTCTTTTGTTCTGTAATAATTTAAAAAAATAGCCAGTGCATGATAAAAAGAAAAAGTTTATTAGAATGCAGTTTAATAATCAAAAACACTTTTCTACACAATGCTTTGAAAATAGTTTTACAAGTTTTTTGTTCTAATACTTCAGAAACTAGGAAATTATTTTCAGCAAAGAACTCATATCTAATAAACTCATCAAAATAAGGTAAATTGTGTAATATCTGGAAAGTTCATTTAATATCTTACAATTTGACAACATTTCTTTTTTTATTATTACAGTTTTCCATAACTTATTTATACAATATCATAGCTGCCAAGCTGCCATTTTTGAAATATAAAACACAGGGTCACCTCTCACACCTAAAATTGAAAGGCTGCTTTTTTTTTTTTTTTGTACTGCATGGTTGCATCCTTTCAAAAGAACTCCAGATTGACTTAAATTCACTTAATACACAATTCAGGTTATACAGCTATTTTAATGAGATCTTAGCTTCTCTATCCCACAGCCCCCAAAAAAGAGTGAGCAAAATTACAGAAGTATATTTTTGCTCAAATATAAAAAAAAAAGAACAATTATCAATTATAATATAAATATAATCTTTATTGTCATATAATTAATTCTTAATTATTAACTTATAAAATTTATAATAATGAAAATGACACAATAAAACAATAATTGGAGAACTAGAATTAGTTATAACATAAAATGAAATATAATGAAAATCATACAATAAAATAATTGAATGCTTACAACTACAACTATAATATAATAAAATTTATTTATTATGTGCAGATATACAGCAGTAATTTAAATAAACTGTATGGGATAATGATTACTGTTATTCGACAAAAGATTACATTAAAAAATTATTACAGACATAAATTATTTCTTAAAATAATCTTATTTATCTATACACACAAACACACATATATATACAAATGCATATAAGATTGAAGAATATGATTCCACATGATTGTTATATAATGTTCATGAAGATGAAGCACATGCTTACATAATGGAAAATATCTTTCAGCAAATAATAACATTAAAATTTGTAAACAAAACTCTTTTTTAACCAGTAGGAGATAAGTAAAACCATAACTGTATTATTCTTAACCTTCATACTTTAATTTATACACTTCTCAGTTTCCCCACCTGCCACCCAGATGGCATAGTGGTTAGGGAAGCCTATTGCAGTACCCAAAGGGCCAAATATATTTTTAAAATTTTAGAAGTACAATAAAACTGTTTGAGATCAGGTGCATTGTTTTTGCTTCAAGAAATAAAAATTGTTTAACTGGGTATGACTGCACATGCATTTTTATGCACCAGCTATGCCACATTTTATACCACTGTTAGCAAAAATGTCATTACATATGTACACAAATAGGTAATGCTCTCAATGCCCACCAATGAAAGAAAATATATATATAATTTTGCTTGAATTTTGTAGAATAAGCAAGTGTAAAATATTTGAAAAGATTTTTCATGGTCGTTGTTTTATGCAGAAATTACGTAAAACAAGTTGAGTTTCATTAATAAAATGTCGTAGCTAAAAATTTTGAATTGCTTGTCACTTGAAGTCTCCTATTACATCTGCAAAAAATCATTACATTCACAAAAGATCAAGGTAACCACATATCTACATATTCATAAACTGTCTACATATTCATAAACTGCTTTGAAAAATTTTAGCCAGGATATTATTTTTTATTTTAATACTCAGCATGATGTATGTAAAAAAAACTCAATACATACAAATTTTAGTTTTATATGCAAAAACGTTAACCATAGGCATTTTTAATGAAATATTTTAATACTTTAAATCATATGCCATTATATAATTAAAAAATTTGATTTCTTAGTCACTCATTTAGTAATAAATGGAAATACATTTATCATTATGTTTAAAATTAGATTTAAAAAAAAATTAAGTAGAGATTTTGACCAGAACTCTATAAAATTCAAAGGGTGATAAAAACACAAATCACTGCTCCTCAAACTGTGTCTGATCACCTTTGAAATTGAAAGAGTTCTGTTTCATAAATGCTGACATCAGGATAAAAACTAATGCACCATACAAAGGATTAAAAGGAATTTTTGATTAACTATCTTGATAACTAATTAAAATGTCAGCTTTAAAAACGTGGACTGTTGTAGTTATATTATAGCATGAATGATATGTCAAACACTTAAATAATAAAATGATAAAATATCACAAATGGATATTTAGAATTCTGTACATGCTAAAATCATGAACATTCCATACACTCATACCAGATATATGGTAATTTTTCTGTCGAGAAAAACTTTCATTAATTCTAAAGCATACGAATTATTTTACCTTAACTTTTCCTCACAGAGTAAAATAATGGAAAGTTATTATATGATTCAATAGATCAGTATTTGATATATATATATAAGTTTGCCAAATATTTCTCAACATTTTTATACCTCATCTGCTACTTTAAATGACAATTTTGAACCCTATAAGACATTACTAAATAAAAAAAACTTACAATACTTAACTTGAAATAAAGATAAACAATTCTTATAAACCATTTCCTTTCTTTAAATATGACTAACATCAACTAGAAACTTCATACTAATTTTTTGGATTTAAAAAACAAATTCATACCAGAGTTAGGTCTTAGTAGAAAGAAATGCACAATACACAAAAGTACAATAAAGTTTATTAAACCTGATTTTGAAGCTCCCAGTGAATTGCTATTCAACAGATTCTTTGAAATATTGGCATACGAACTCGGAATAGGCAGATGATAAGATGACAATCCTGAGCTATCAGCATCTAAATATATATAGATATATATTTACTAGAAAACAATCTCAAAATTTCAAAAAATAAACCTTGAATATATTTAAGAACACTTCAGACATACAATACAATGTATAAGGAGATGTGTTTATAATAAGGAATATTTTAACAATAGAATTTAATTGTTGCATATTTGGATAAGCAAGAAGGTCAAATATAAACTAATTAATAAATTATAGCTGAGTATCTTTAAATATGAAAAGGCAATAACTAATCAGATATAACATTTAAAAAAATTTCACAGAATTTTGCTCACTGGAAATTCTATTTTTAATAACTGTAGGAAAAATGAAAAAATTTATTCTTTCCAATACACATTATTTACCAAATGGATTTTTATACAGGGGAAAAAAAAAGAAAAAAAAAAAACTTCAAGAACAGAGAAAATACACTAAATTTTGATTTCATCCATTACACTTAATAAATAAGGGAGGGGGGAATCTGAGAACAGTATCACAGTACAAACCAATATCAAGAAAAATGTGATTGTCTTTTTGGTAATAATTAGAAATGCTCTTACAAACATAAATTTCTAGCAATTAAAAGAAATTATTTACAAAAAAGTTTTGACTTAATGACAAATTCCAATCTCTGTTCATTTCCTTCATATTTTACTATAACATTGCATATATAAGGATATATACTTACGATCACAGTTTATTCCAAATTTTTTTAAAACATGGCAAGCAGCATACAATTTAGCTTCTTCTGGAGTTCGGCTTATTTTATCAGACATAAAACGACGACCAAATGGACAACCAGGCATTATAACCTAAGAAGGAAAAATTTATAAAACTATTTTAGATTATTATTATAGGGGCATTATGTCAAAGTCATTTATCCTTATAAGATGTTTATTTATCCTTATAAGATATTTATGTATATAAGATGTTTGATTGAGCCTACAAGCCTCTATTTTAGTTTTTCACATATATTTTGATATATTTCAGATATATTTTGTGTATACAAAACAAATATTAAATGAAAATCTAAAGTAAAAATAAATTTCTTTTACATTCATATTATAGTTTTATAATGCTTAAAAGAATAATGAGCCAGACCTTGTTTAAGCTCCACAGGAATTCAAAATGTCCAAGTCATAGCCTTTAGCTGCTGAATCTATAAAATATTGTATTTGACAACGATACAAATACTAATTTCTAGCGCAATTTAAATGTATTTTTTTTTTTCTAGAAATATATTAACAAATCTTTTTAGACAGCATAATGGTTTTAATTTTCAAATTTACCATTTTAGGTAAATAGTTCTAATTTAATTTAAAAGTTCTCTTTATTGAATCTAAAAATTTGATTTATTATGTGGTTCTAAATACACACCAAGTATTTAATATTAAGTTTTCCATTTTTAATTATTGAAGTTATCTTAGAGTTAAATTTAACTTTCTTACAAATTCCATATTTTAACATTAGAAATGTTTAAATATTTGCTTTGTTTTCCAGTTACTCTAACCGATATACTTTGAAATAAATTTAATTCATTATATACACTTTATTAATAATTATGAGCATTTGCAGCATTTTCAGAATTAAAAGAAAAAAATTTGAACCCTCTTATATTCATATCTTAGGGTTTTTGAGTTCTTCTTTATCAATTTCTTTTTAAATTCACATCATATATTTGTTTTTATTGCATATATTGTGGCCCTGTATTCAAGTTTTATTTCATTTGATTTTTAATTTATAAACTTTTGTATCAGAACTCAAGTAAACCAAAGATGCTTTTAACACCTTGGTAGAGATTAATCTGCAATATGCAGCTTATTTTCAATCTGATTTCAGGCTTCAATAAAATTATTTACAAAGAAAGATGGTTGCTAAATCATGCTCATACTTCTATCTGTTGTAATTTATAATACAACAAATTCATTTGATTTATAATATACCTAATTTATAATTCTTATAAAATTTTAAGCATTGGTAACTTTCACATTTATCTTAGCATATCTCTTTACATATAACTTTAGTAACAAAAATGTAAGCACAGAAATTAACTTAGTTTGTATGACTGTTGAATGACTCATTGCAATCTACCTGGATGTTTTTTACAATCATAGGAATAATGTTAAAACATGGATGAATTCCATCTAATTTACTTAATGTGCTCATTCCAGAATGCAAATTCCATATTTCAAGTATTTAATTTTATAAGCTTCTAGGGTTCGTACACATTTCTGCACATGGAAATTAAGTACGTTTAAGGACCATTAATGAAAAAAATTAAGGACCTATCAACAAACAGAAGCTAAATAAATTTAAATTCAATCAGCTTATATCTGAACTTGACTTGTGTAATAATGTTCAAAAGAATAAAATAGATCTGTCAGAAAGAAGAATTCTTATTAAACATTACTATAAAACAAATTTGAGAATAAAATCCACTTTATAAAATTTATCAAGTAGCATTTAATATTTTCCACGTATAATAGTTGGACATATTTGAAAGAAGATTAAGGACATTTTATTAACAGCTTCATGTTGATTTATTTATTTATTTATTTATTTTTTTATTTATGTCTCAGTTTGCCATGTACTTACTCAGTCTAGAAGTTCAGAAAATAGTAAATAACAGGTAGATTTAATGTCAAATGAGAAATAAAATCATAATCAGCATGATTCATAACAGAAGCTTAGTTGCTGTTAGTGCTGCTACTTGCTGAGAGAGAGATCTGTTGATCAGAAAAAACCTGAAAGCATGATGTAGGCACGGTTGGAAAGTTCTGAAAGTTAGTTGTGCTTCGTCTGTCTGAAGCAGTTAATGTTGTACCTTTATATAGAGTTTCTGGGCTTGTAACCTGGTTAATATATTTTAACGTTCCAATAAGCCGCTAATGCAGTAGAAGTGATGAGTTGTTTTGTATTATTTTAAGTCTCGCTAGATGCAAAGAATAAGCTTACAATAGTTTTTACATTTTTGTGCTGTATCTTGTGACCACAGTAATAATTAATGAAAAGCAATAACTTGCTTTAATACACAGAGATAACTTTTAAAGGTGAGCAGTTAGTTATAAATAATTAAATTAGATAATTAAATACGCTTAGTCATTATAGATTTACATGACCACTATTAAAATCAAAATCTAATAACACAGTTTAAAATACAAGTAATTTATGACACTGATTCTTAAACAGTATTAGGATAATTACACATCAAAAGAAACAAAACAAAATATTTATGGTCCTTTTTAGTTTGAGGTCTTTCAAGACATTTTGGCTAATTTATATCAATTTTCTTCTCTAAACATCTTTTCTAACAATTAGGAATCTGTTTCAATACACAAACCAATGTTCCCACTAGTTTCTGTGTGCTTTATCTCCTAACTTGCCAGCCTCTCAACAATGTACCTAACAAGGTTTTATGTGATCTGGTAAAAGCTAAATAACCCAAAACCTTTGATAGACATGAAGCAAATTATCATTATGTCTGAAGGTAACTACAGCGTCACATAAAGATTTAAATAAACCTTTTATTTAAAGCAACTTTACAGTAGTAACAAATTCAAATGTTATCAATGATAATGAAAAGGTGAATAATTACAAATTATCAGAGCTGGCAGGAACTAAAGCAGCATCCAATTGGAAGGGAAAAACATTCTGTCTTGCAATCCAAAAATCTCAGTTTAAAAACTGTTTGATTTGCATTATGGTGAGGAAGCGGAAAGGGGAAGTTATAGTAAAGGCTAAAATTCTAAACAACTGATTAATTTGGATAATAATAACTGTATATATCTTTGAAGAATAATTCCCTTCCTCTTTATGTATTCAGTTTCTTTCAATACGTTTCCTCTTCACTTTAGAACTTTTGGAATTAAAGATTTCTGTATTTCTAAAAAAACCAAATGCATTTAGAATATAAAGAAAAAGCTGCTAATTTTATTTCTTTAGTTATATGAACATTCAGAATAAATATGAAATGATATGTGGTAAGAGCTAATTTCAGAGCACAATGTTTGAGGCACAATGAGGCACAATGTTTAGATTTTAGTGACACACCAAGCAACAAAATCTAGAAATGGCAAAACTTTCAGAATTTAGGACAGGGACTGGGAGCAGAATTTAGGAAAGCATTAGGCAGCATAATTTAGTGAGGCACTAGGCAACAGAATTTAGAATCGACAGAGATTTAATCAGGTGGGAAAATGTGCAGTGCCAGCCCTGTGTTTGATCCATTAAGACATATACGGTGAATCTTTTAAATCGTCAGTTTTCAAGTTCTTTATCTATAGATTTTTTTTTTTTTTTTTTTTTTTTTGTAAATGCCTGCCTATGCGAAAAGATTAGAAACATTTTTGATATTTTCCATGCTTGCGTCTTGTGAAAAGTTAAGAAAATAAAGAAAAGATAAACATGTTAAGTAAAAGACTTCTAGCATCAGAAGTAAATTCAAACATTATATTTTCATTGTCCTTCCAAAAATTCTTCACAATGTAAGAAATTCATCATAAAATTTCTGTAAATACATCCACTATGTGTTAATACAATGAAGATATTTTTCATTTTGTCACATTTTTCTGGAGCCTTCGAGAAATGTGGGTCTGTAAATCTTGCCTTCAAATCCGTCTAAACTTTAAAAGTTGCAATGTCTAAAATTCTAAAGAAAAATTAGCCCCACCAATTTTGTAATAGAAAAAAGGCCAGAAATAGTTTGAAAAAAGAAATCAATGAAAAAAAGTGTGAAACTCATTTTATAAGAGAAAACTGAAGCATATTCTGGTAATTCTGAAAAAATTACATGGGAAAACTTCTAACCATGAAAAAAGTAGAAGGAAGAAATTTTTAATTAATTACATAGCTATGTTTTGTAAACTGTGCTTTATAGCATTTATTATCTTGTTTATTTTTCATATTCAAAATACTGCATAACACGTTGTCAAAACGAAATGTAATGTCTCTTCATAATATGACAGCAAAAAATATAAATGTTTTATTTTGATGTTGTTTTTTAAATATAATTTCAATATATTACCATTATTTTAGTTAAATTTATCAATGTTCTAATGTTTAAAAAAAATGGCCAAAAAATTCCCAGATCTCAGAATAAAAAAATTTCTATACAAACTTATATTAAAATTGCCGAAATGTTGTAAGTCACCAAATTTCGAGCCATTTAATTAAAGAATTCACATCAACAAAAGCGGAAATTGTTTAAAAGCTCTTCATTACAGAAAAATGAAATAATTTTGAAATGTTTATGTTTATTCCTTGTTCAGAAACTCCAGTATCCCACCCTTTATATTAGAAATAGGGACAAATTATAACCAATGAACCCATTCAAAAGATAATCATATTTGTCAGTGAATTACCAAAAATATTCCTCCAAAGTGATAATTCACACTCAAAATAGCAGTTGTAAAAACAAGACAGAAATTTCAGATAAATAAAATTAAGGACCTTCTGAAGAGTTTGGTCGAAATTAAGGACTTTTAAAGACCAAAAATTGATTTAAAATGTAAGGACTTTTAAGAACTTTACGAACCCTGGCTTCCCTATGTATTATTCAGTAGATACACCAAGAATAGGATAACATATTAATTAGAGAGAAGATATATTAATTTGTAGCGCAGTTTATATTATCCTTTTAAAAGCAATGAAAATTTAATTTAATTTTTTAATACTAACACTAATGTAATTTATAACATATAAAAAACAACTATGAAACAGCTCATAAGAAACAACTATATGTAATTAATAATTTCTATAAACATTTATGTAATTACTTTAATTTAAAAAATATTTCTAGCACACTTTTAATACACTTTAGTTTCGAATAATCATTTACATGCCATTTAACTGCATTAAATTGTTCATCTAATACTATTATGATCAAAGAAACATATTAAATCAATGCATCAACAGATGCCATTTATGTGAAACATAGTGCATATGCCTTATAATTATCTAACTTATAATACAATTACATTTATTGCTCTATTATTAAAGTAATGAAAGATGCTACCATAATGCCAATTTTTGTGTTTACTAATAAATTTTATTTCCTTTGTTAGCTCTTGCCTTTATTACCATTATTTAAGTAACTATTTGATTTCAAAAAGTAAAACTAAATAAGAATTCTCAGCATTTTGAAAGGGTGGATATGTTCTTCAGAAATTTGAAAGGGTGGGCATTTTGAAATTTGGGCATTTGCATTTTGGGTTTTCTCAGCATTTTGAAAGGGTGGATATCTTCTTCAGAAAGTGTGAAGACCCCCTATAGTGTCTAAAGGGGAGAGGAAAACTTCTTTCACTTTATGAAGTCATTACGTTCTCTGGGCAAATAACTATTTAACTGAAAAGAATTTATCAATAAGAATTATACAGAATGTAAAAGGAAATTCAAAATTGTCTTTACATGTTTTATGAATATTCTATGTGACTCCCCTTGGTAACACAGACAACATCTAAGCGGTAGTCTAGGAGTCACCAGCACAAGCACATTAGAAATGAACATTTTGAGTTCTGGAATTGTTTTCAGCAAAGAATGCACATACACAAGGTCTTTCACATAACCCCCATAGAAAGAAATCACAGCATATATGTGCTTCCTTTGCCAAAAAAAAATTCCAGAACTCAAAATGCACATTTCTAATGCACTTGTGTTGGTGACTCCAGATGTTTCAGAAGGTATGGTGTGAAATTGACTACCACTTAGATGTTGTTCTTGTTACCAAGGGGATTCACATAGGACATTTTATAAAGTATGTAAACAGAATTTTGAACTTCCTTTTACATTCTCTGTATTGTTTGTAATCGCTATATTCCTTTTGAATTACCCTATGTGAGAGTGCGTATATATATATATATGAACTAATTTTTCACAAAAATCAAAAATTAAAATTAGTAAATTTCATATAATCTCATAAATGCAACAAAGAATTTTAAAAGTTTTCTAAATTTCTTACTTATGTCTTAATTATATATATATATATTTTATATATAATTTATTTATATTATTTTTTATTTTTATTTATCATTTATAAAATTTACAGGAACATTTTAAAATAAATATATATTTATATACTATTATCTCATGTAATATTCCCCATTTTCTACTTAAAAATTTCAATGCAGGTTTCCAGGTGCAGGCAAGAAAGATCATTCAGTATATAAATTTAATAATTTGTAGTTATTCTCTTTCAAAAAAACTCTGGCAGCTCTTGCAAAACAAAACATGTGTTAAAAATTGAAAAATAATATGTATTAAATGTTTTATAAAGCAAATTCATAATTCTTACATATATATATAGATAGATACATATACAGTTTTGAATTATTTTCTTGAAAACAGGCAAAAAGCACATGCAACCAGCACCAGTTTTTTTAAAAATTAAACACATTGTCAAAGAGAATGCATCATTTATACAAAGATGAAAACCTGTACACATACAAAATGCACAGCTAAAAGAGACATCGAGAAACAAAAGTGCTTATAGGTTACATTGATGATCAGTATTTTTTTATTCCTCTCCAAAATTAAGGTACAGGCATTACTAAGTATATATAGTAAATCACAAAGAGTAATTTAACTAAATCTTAAATCATAGAATAAAATTTATGACAGCATGATTATTTAGTTAAAATTACCTCTTTTAGCAGCAAAGAAATAAATACAGCTATTTATAGTAGGCAACTTAAACCATAAGCGTCAATATAATGTTAGGATTTCCATTTGTAAAATGCCCTTTTCTTTCATATAATGCAGAATTAATTGCATTCAAAATTGCTAGTTGTTTAATATGTATTTTAAACTTTAATTCAGTATCAAATACATTTATTTTGTAAATGATTTCATGGGAGAAAACAAACGGTGTGTTATAATGCAAAATTAAACTAGTTTAGCCTACAACTAAATGACTGAAAATAATTAAAATTTCTTGAAGAGATACAACCACTATTAAACTGAATATTACTCAAAACAAATACAAACCCAGCAAACAAAAAACAATTCACAAGGATCTGAGTCAACGTGAGACACCTGGAACAGAGGTTCACCCCATCCATTTTCAAGACAGATGTAATACAAAAGCTAGAAGTAAAAGATGATTCATTTAATATAAGATTCAATCTTTATAAATATATAAATAAATGAAAATCACAAAAAATTATCTGGATAGCAAAGTATTATTTCAATACTTATGCATTACATTTTTATCAACGTTTCTAAGAAACAATAGTTTTTAACAAACAAAAACTTTTTTAAAAAGAAATATAAATTCTTCTGAAACATCTGAAGAAAGTTCTTGGAAAAACTAATACATAATATTTTAATAAAAATTTTTAAAAAATCTTGTGCAGTGCAGCAAAAGGCGAGCAAAAAATTAAATTATCCCTAAATACAAAATCTTATATTATCTTATACATCATTATTCTCTTTTAGGATTTCATTACAAATTACAGTGAAACAATGTATATAACTCAGTATAACATAAATACAAATAAATATAAATATTAGTGCATGATTAAATACTTTAGTTATAGTCCATTCATCAAAAAGGAAGGAGAAAAAATATTAAAATGTTTTGTGTATCTTACCAAAATAAGTTACTTTTATCACTTTTCCTCCTAATTGGCAAATTTGTATTTCACAAACGAAAATGAATCTGATGCATGTGCAAATACCAAATATTCATTTGGCAAATCAAACACAGCAGATTTAGAGCATTACTTACTCTAAGCATCGTTGCTTGTAAAATTAAATTATAATTTACTTATCTTAAAATTCCAATTAAATAATTTTTATTTATATTTGTTGCCTTATAGCAATTGAGAAAATGTGTTTATAATGCTGTATGTCACATATACAGGTAGAAAAATCATTTGGTTTCTTTTTAAATTAATTTTGCATACTATTTAAATTAAAGTTAACAAAAATATAAAAATTTTAGGAGAACAAACCCTTTTTTTAAGTTTTGAGGGAAATATTATGCAAAAAAAGACTAAATGAGAAAGCCCAAATCAAATCAAAATGGGCCTGGTACTTCCTGAGTATAACAGTCATCACTCTGATGTCTGAGAATGAAATAAGTAAAAAGCCTTTGATGTCTGTGAATTAAATTGCATGCTACAAATGTGACAATTAAGTTTGTCAATTTGGTGCTACTATGGCTAAACTTTGGTAACCATGCTTGTGAAAATTCTTCATTTTTAATGAGCAGTATCGGCACTTTTGATGCATTGTTTTTTATAGTAGTCTAAGTTCTAAATTTTTTGCATGGAAATCATGATAATTTTCTTACTTAAAATTCAAAAATTCATTTTAAATTCATTTGTGAGGATGTGGAAGTAATAATGGTAATAATGGTAAGAATGGATGTGGAAGTAATAATGGCATTTTGCAGCAGTATAATATTTCACTACAAAATCATTAAATGGACTTTCACTCATATTTGAGTCAATTTGTAAGTACAAAATATGTTTGTATGTAAAGGGTAATTTTTCTTTAATCTGTATGCCTTAGTTATACTCAATCTGGCCTTAACCGCTGAGCAGTTGTGTACCTTCACTGGGGGCTCTTGGCTCAGCAGTTATGCAAAAGGGGAAAAATTATTGAATAGAGTCTTGACTACTAGGCGATTTTGTCAGGCAGGCAGGGAAACTGTCATGATTTCCTTTCAATCCAGTTCCAATGCCTTAGGCGTTAGAATTCGGGATGCACTAATCGCTTTCACACTGCAGGCAGATGCAGTTTTCCCAAGGGGGGGGATATTATTTTATCTTCTTCAGATGAAATGTATGCTAAAACTATAAAATTTTGCTCTAAAAAGTGTTCCATTTTATGATTAAAATAGTTTTTTTAAACTTGCACGTAGATTATGTACCAAAAAATAAGCGAAACAATTGGAGTTAAATACATTCACTTGTCATCGTATCGAAAATTCAGTGAGTTAAAAATATTCAAACGTTTCCTGCAAGCAATATATACATTTTCATTTTTAATAGCATTATTATTCTGATGTTGAAGAGCAAATTAAATAGAGTTTATTTACTACAAAGAAACTAAAAATTTTACTAAAAAGCATTTCCGGATTTAAAAATGAGTGTTATTACTTTTACACCTCTGGTAATATCCATTTCTGGAGAATTAGAAATTGGTCACTGCGTTTGTACTGCACTAAAAATTTACAATGAACCAAGAAATTTTTCATTTATTTTTCTTTCATGTGGCGTTGCAAATAGCGATCCCAGTGTTGATCTGCCTTTACATAAGGCATATAAGATGTTTAATCTTTTTTTTAAATGCTTCATAGTTTTTGGTTCAAGAAAGAAATGCAGATGCAAACCCTGGAGCTAAAGAAAATAAAATCCTTGTTGAGTTTTAATGTATTCAGTAACAAAAATTTAGTTTTATCACTTAGCGATATAAGATATTACTTTGTTTGATAGCTGTTCAATAATTTATATTGTTACACCATTTTTTCTTTGAATGTAGAATTGCATATACAGAAACACATCGATATTTCAGAAAGTAAACATCTTTGTCGAATAGCGAAATATTTGTTCACTTTTTTATGATATATATTTTCAGAATGCTAAAATCTCCTTTGAGATATCAAACTGTTATACGAAATTTTCAGATCTCAAGCTATTTACACTTGCTTTCTTTGGGAGTAATGAAAGATGGGTATGAAGATTCGTACTGAGTTGATGAATATTAATAAAGATTCGCACTGAGGATTAAATTCAGGGAACTAAAAAGTGGTACCCATCTGAATTATTGTATACATGCTTTGTATTTTAATATCTAAATTTGATTCCCTCCAAAACACAATTCTCATATAAAATGCTTTCTGAACACTACTAGCAACTAAGTGGCTAAGGCTGCTGAATGCTGTTAGTTCGACGTCAGTCGATCGAGCTGGCCGCATGGTCAGTTTTCGTTGTTTCCTCCATGTGAAACGTGAATACGAGCCAATTTCCTCTAAAAGATCTCCATGAAGGCATCTTTTTCTTTAGGTAGGCAGCCTTCATGTGCTTCTTCACATTCAATTAACCTAAACGGTGTCTAATTTCTGAACTAATTGATATAGATATGACATTAAAAACACAAACATATAACAATGGATAAACTAATAAGTTTTGAAACTTTTTTTAATTAGAAGATGTTCCATAATAATTGCTTTAGTACAAATTTGTATTCCTTTTGTCGCACAATTAAAATTCATTTTGTCATCAAAATTATTCATAAAAGGAAACGCTCATAAGTTTAGCTTTCTTATTTCGAATATAATTTTATTTTTATTTGTCGAATTAAAGAAAGAGTTAGCTACCTAAGCAAAAGGAGCTATCGTGGAGCCCCTTCAAAGGAAATTGGCTGATAGACCCTAATTATATGTGAGAGAACAAGAAAAGTTCATGCAGTCAATCTGTTCATCGGAATTTGAATCCAGGTTAAATTATCAGAGTTAAAGAAATATTATCCGCTCGGCCACTAGTTTTCATTTAGAACAAGAATTTTAGCAGTTGAACTTCCGAAAATAAAATTTCTTTCATGTTTGACCTCCAAGTCGTATTTGCACAGGAAAAAACCTGAAAATGCAAACGCGTGTGAATCCAAGTAACAAATTATTCTTTTTATTTTCTCCTCTCAACAAAATATTTCCTAGAAGATACCAAATTTGCCAGCAACACATGTGAATTCAAAACACGAACAATTTTCTCCAATCCATTAGCGGAATCCCACAAAAGAACGCACTCTACGGGATGTCATAAAATCGTCATCAAGCCTCAAGCGCTACAATTCCTACCCCTGCCACCAATGACAAACTGTCTTGAGCCCCCAGTTGTTGTATACGTACTTCAGAACACATGTGTCCCAGCCCCCGGGAAAAAGGTTAATCCTTCAAAAAAAATTGCCAAACTGTGTTATGGTAGTTGATCTAATGCAAAAGTACTACCAATTTTTGTGACTAATATTAGTGGTGACTTAAAGCAATAAGTACTGACAGCATTAAGCATTAGTGGTGACTCAAGGCAATAAGTACTGACAGCATATCTAAATTGGCACAGAGAACATAACAGATAAATCTATAGCAATAGATAAATATCTATTTTCAGTGATTAGACAAGGTTTGGTGTAACATATGATTCTAAACATATTTACATCTAAAGGAAGCCAGAAACACTAAATATTTCAACTAGTGCTAGGGAATATGATAAAGCAATCATCATACCATGAGGAGGAATAAGATTAATGAATGCATTTATTATTCTGAACTAACATTTATTTATCTGAACATCTAACATTTATTAATCTAATTTTTGGCAGACACAGCCTGTGTCTGCCAAAAATATTGAGATGAAGCATTACAACCTCAGGTACGGCATTTTAGAGATGCATATGGATCTGATTTTTTATGCACAATAATGCAAGTCCATCAAGCAAATTTGGTTGATGAATTTCTTGAAAATGAAAGCAATTAAACTGGCCATTCCAATTTCCTAATATGAATGTCAAACAGGTTTCATAGAAGTCTTGGGAAAAGGTATAGGATAACAAAATTCTCCTCCTAAATGTCTCATTGCCTTGAAAACCATACTTAGACCATTCTCAGTACTCCATTCTCAACCATACTTGAAAATCATTCTTAATTAAATTCAAAAGTCTGCACCCCTCTAAAATATTTACATTGTATAACAATTCCATTGTCATATAGTAATATTTCAATTATAATTGCTTCAAAATATACTTTCATAGGACAGAGGAAATGTTACTCATGTCCATGATATTCTTAATTCACACATGCCTCTTAGGTGGTGCTAAATGAGTAGCAGCTATGGCTAAGGCAAATCCTCGCTTAATATTCAAGGCAAATGGAAAACGTTTGGTCAAAAGCCCTGTATAAAAAGGCTGTGGCAAATTTCAGACTGCAAAAAGGCCACAATTGCATGGCACATCATTTTATTAAAATTGGCATCATAAATGCAGAGCATCTTCTTATATCCCCAGAACTAGATAGAGTCTCAGAAACGTGGTGAGATAAGTAAACTATATTGGAATGCCAGAGCTTTCATCAACTCCTTGTAAAGACAACATCTCTTATGTTCTTTTCCTTGTTGTATAAATTTTTAACTTTTTATTTTTGTTTCTGTGTTCATTTAATCTGATTCTTACTTTAAATGTTTGTTCTTTTTTTATTTAGCATTGTTCTTGTGTGATACTTCAGCTGTTTTATATGTTTGGACTGGTCTTTCCAATAAAGCCATATGTAAAAAACCACATACTTTCATATCACATGCTTTCATATTTAAGTTTTCAATTTTGCACATATGTATTGTACCATATATCATCCACATAAATTTATTCAACAGTTTTTTAGAAATCAATGTTTCTGTACAAAAAATTCTCTAAAAAAAATTTAAAGTAGCAGAGAAAAGAATGAATTCCACGGAATGTGATAAACCATCAATACAGCTATTTTGTAAGAAACAAGCGTACCATGTATAGTCAGAAGCCAGTTCATGAATATTTATGATTGATGTTGAACACTCTAATCTAGCTGTTTCTAACTACATTATACAGATTTCCAAGAATATGAGTACATTATTGTGATGTATGGGTGATGCCAAACAACAAGGTGCATAGAGGGTACTAAGTCTCACTCTGAGAGGTGCTAAAAGCTTTTTAGTTTCCAGGAGGGAGACCTATAAGACAGGTCATAGATAAAAGGAAGGCTAATGGGAGCCCTGTAAAATCAAAATGAAATTAACTTGTATTGCTGAATATATATATTTCAATTATTAGTAGTGTAGTTTTAATATTTAGTTTTGTGTGTGCAATAACTGTTTAAAATACAAAGAAGATGGAATCATTTCTCTATAAGGCAGCATAGCAAAAAGAGGTGATATTACACACCCTGTATTTGAAAACTAGAGCTTTAGGTGACTGTAGAGAAATTTCAAGAGAAGTAGGTATGAGGCTTTTGATTTTATTTTACTTAGAGTATAAATGTACTGAAATATATGAAACAAAACTAAAAATGTTTAAGAACACCAAGATTTAGTAAACTTTCTCAGTGAAATTGAAGATACACCAGCCGTTGGTTTAACAGTTATTCAATTAAAAGGTAAAATTGAGGATAATCAAATTTTTAATGATCCAGAATTTGTAATTGAATTATTAAACTCAATAGTTGAGGGAAATCAGAGAAGAAAATGAAATAAAAGTTAGGGATACACAGCAATAGGAGCTCAAAAAGTTGAACTTGAGAAATTAAAATTAGCTCAGGTAGAAAAAGAATTGGATAAAGTTAGAAGTCAGAACGCAGTTAAAGACGGATCTCACGCAGATAAAGATAAAGATATCAATACAGGTTTGGGAAATTACTTGGAAAATCTAACAAAAAGTGTTAAAACATTAACTATTCCTGTCCCAGAAAGATTGGAAAATTTTAATTTGTTTTTTTAAACATTAGATAGAGCATGCATTACTAAAAATATACCACAGGGGCAACTAACATATTATTTTACATTAATGATAAAGAACTAAAATGTTATGAAACTATTAAAAAACTAGTACTAAAAGAATATCAACCAACCAACAGTTTATGAATGTTTAATGAATTTTTGAAAAGCATGACGCAATCCCAGAGAGTCAAATGTTCAAGTTCACACCTAGACTATATGCACATTTCCAGTATTACTGTCAATTATGTGAAGTTAAAGACTTTGATACATAGTGTCAACTAATGATTTCCAACAAACTTTTCCAAACATAAGATAGAGAAACGGCAACTTACATTAATATCAAAACAGGAGAAAATTGCTTAAAACCTAAAGATTTAGCTAAAGAAGTTGACCTATATTTTGTAAACAAAGGAAAATTGTTAAACAAAATCACTTTTAACTCTAACAAAAATATAGTACGTCATCCCATTCTTCAAGTGAATTGAAATATATCCTGCCTCGTGAGAAACAGCATAAATAAAAATAAATATCCACCCAAAGACTGTTACATGTGTAGAAAATTAACGCACCTTGCTAAAGTCTGTCCACAAAGAAACAAATTGGAAAAAACAAAACACTCCTTTAAAAAAGGAAATACTAGAGAAAAATACCAGTCATAAAGTAATAGCAAAAATTGGATCTTCATGCTTAAAATCAGATGAAATTTTTATGCAACCATTGCAATAGGTAAATATTTATGTAGTGTATAACAAAATCCCAGTCATAATTGATTCAAAAGCAAAAAGGAGCTGAGATTTCTGTTTTGAATCCAAAACACATATTTCTCTATTGAGAACAATTGTAATATTGACCTAATTTCCGCATTTGGTGAAACCATTTCAGCTAGGGCCCACCAGCGGCCGAGCGGTAAAGTCACTGAACACTGGTAGTTTGGTTCGAGGTTCGAATTCCGCGAACGTGCTGGCTGCATGGGCGTTTTCATGGTTTTTCCCATGTGTAATGTGTATACGAGCCAGTTTCCTTTAGAAAGTCCTCCACAAAGGCATACCTTTCCTTAGGCAGATAGCCCTAGTGTGCTTTGCTATAATTAAATGCACACCACACACCATTTCAGCTAAAGTGGCTAGAATTCCTATTTACATCAGAAATGCTGATAACCCTAATTTATTGAAACCTATCAAAATATTTGTAGCATTAACAGAAAAACTCTATATTCCCTGTGTAATTACTCGCAATTAATGATTTATCGACCACTGAATCACATCTGCTTAGCATGAATCTTGATTGTAACACAGGATCCCCATCACAGAAACCGGAAGTGAGGAGTCATCAATTGAAACTGTTCAAAGGTGAATGCCATGCTGATTTACTTATGCCAGAACAAGAAGAAAATTTAATCATAAATTGAATTTAAGGTAAAAACGAAAATGGTGTATAATTAAATGTGGGTCAACATACGAATGCCAGTATTTTTAAACAACAGCAGAGGGAAGGTGAGACATTACACAAATATGTACTGTGTTTATTGACCAACATTCTAGGTGGCCAGAAGCTATCCCTTTGAGAACAATTACAGCAAAATCAACATGTGACACATTATTAGTAATCTTTTTGAGAACAGGCATACCTTGGGTAATTGTTAATGACCAAGGTACCAATTTTGTTGCAAAATTAACACAAGAATTTCAAGCCAGATTAGGAGCAAGTCCTAGATTTGCAACACCTGGACATCCATAAAGCTCGGAATTAGTTGAACGATACAATCAAGTTCTAAAATGTATGCTGCATCACATCATCCAAAACGAAGCTAAAAATTGGGACAAACACATTCCCTACCTGCCATTCACTTGGCAAGAAATCCTAAATTGTACTACAGGAGTATCCCCATTTAAATTAATGTATGGAAGAGAGGCTAGAGGTTCATTGTCAGTATTAAAATCGTCATGGTCAGGAGAAATTTCATTACCAATAAGATTGTGTAAAAGTGCTGTTGATTATCTACAGGAACTAAAAATTAATTTAGAACAGCAGAGTAAGCATCCATAATAGCAGAACTGAAACAAGCTGCATATACAAGATATGCTAATCGAAGAGTGATATATAAAGAATTCAACCCTGGAGATCAAGTGTATGTGCTGATTCCAGTAATAAATTATACATTATAATTTTTTATTATAATATTATTATTTTTTGTGCTTTCTTCTGCAGAAACTTTAAGCATACCATAGAAGCTTTAAGTATAATTCTAGTGCAATTTATAATTATTTTGATTACTAATTGTTAATCATAACAATATATGTTACAGCTTTAGCAGAAGTCACATAGTAGATGTAGAAGTAATTTGTATAAGTATTTTATTATTATCTCTCAATTTCAATAGAGATTGATTTGTTGACTTTAGTAGGTAAGTAACTCTTTTGTTGACGTCACCATATTTTGTCGTATTTCAATAGGCTTTCACCTATTTCAATCTTGGATGAGGGTGTGATGTATGGGTGATACCAACCAACAAGGTGCATAGAAGGCGCTAACTCTCAATTTGAGAGGTGCAAAAAGTTTGTTTCCAGGAGAGAGACCTACAGAGAGGAAATAGATAAGGGGAAGGCTCATGGGAGCCATAAATAAAAACAAAATTAACTTGTATTGCTGAATGTATATATTTCAATTATTAGTAGTGCAGATTTAGTATTTAGTTTTGTGTGTGCAATAAATGTTTAAAAAATAAAGAAGGTGGAATCATTTCTGTATAAGGTGGCACAAAAAAAAAAAAAAAAAAAGGAGTGATATTACAATTATGAATCCTTTACTTGAATGATTAAATACTTAAATGTATTATTAAAGGAATGATAGGCAGAAAACACTCATCAATAGCTTTAGAAGATAGTTCTAATTACTTATCTTTGCAGAGTACAATATATTTACAATACATGATTTTATCCTTTTTGATAATCAAACTGGATTCTTTTTTCTTTTACAAAGGAGGAAGCGCTGTTTATTTATTAAATTAGGAATACATGATTTCTCACTAGTATTAGTAGATACATATGTATAAATCATTTGTGTCTTGCTGATAGACAGTTACCTAATTTTAGACACCAATATACATGTACATATGTTAATCTACAGATTGTTTTCAAATACAGTATAAAGTTCAAAATCCAGAAATCTAACATATAGGCTTCCAAATCACCAGAAGGAAAAGACCAGGAGGGGGGACCTACAATGTTTAGGAATGAAAAATGAAACAACACACACAGACAAAAAAAAAAAAAAAAAAACTTTTTTTGCAGGTGTGTCATAAATGAGATCTTTCTCTGATCCACTAACTGAGTCACTTTCAAACACTTGCTATCATTTTCATACACTTGCTGGCTAGAGAACTGCACTATGGCCAATTACTGTACACTGGCTCAAGTTGTACTGATGCCACGATCATAGCTTGAAATTTCTAAAATACAGAGTCACCGAAGCCCCAATCATTTCGAACATTGTATTATACTACAAAATGCATAACTGAATGAATATGTTTACTGTCTTCTTTCCTATACCTGAACAGGTCTTGTAATTGGAAAAGTGCTTCTTAGGTTTTGCATAGAAATTGGAAATCTTGGTCTAGCACTTGATCGTGGACTTCCAATTGATCTTGGAAAAAATGAGAATCTGAAAAAGGAATTGAAAAGAATGAAAACATTTATGTTGAAATAACATGTAATTAAATCAAAAATTTAAATATATATATATATAAATCAATTAACAAAACGAACATGAACATACCAATTTTTTTTCGAATGTTGAAATAAAATATTCAAAAATCAGTAAGTTTTATCCGTAATACAGTACCTAAGACATAATGAAAATGCTCCATACAATTAAAAATAAAATACAAGGCATTTTCTTACTTAAATGGCCATTGCATAGGCCTTTGACAATATTTAAGATCTGTTCATAAAAATTTGGCCATTGTTTACCACTTAACTAGCCATGGGGATAATTTTAGTAAAAAAATACTAAACACATTATTAAATTACTGACTCTTGACACAGGGAAACCAGAGATTTTGAGAACTTAATTTATATGATTTCCCAATTTTCAATTAACTACATCCTGTCTAAAACAAAAGTTTGTATATTATAGAATGATATAAAAAACTACTATTCTCATCAATTATTTTTTCTGCTCCAATGATTCATGACTATTTATAAAATGGCATCTAAAGTGAAAAATACTGCAAAAAAACACACCACTTGGGCCCTTCTCTAGCTATGGTTAGTCTTCATTTATAATTAACTATTTTTTCTGCTCCAATTATTCATGACTATAAAATAGCAACTCATGTGAAAAATACTTTAAAAAAAAGGAAGGGGGTTCATTTCTCTAGCTATGGCCCTGCATCAATCATTAAGCTTAGATTATCAGGATTCAGAAAAGTTTTGGTACTCTTTCTGTTAGTAAAAGCAGATTCAGATATGTATATGTATCATGAAATGAGATATGTAAAGTATCATGATCTTTTTCTGATTTAAATAACATTCATTTTGCCAGCAGAATTATGGTAAAAAAAGGTGCATTCGGTATGCTTGCAAATAAAGAAACTTCTATGATAGTACAGTTTTCTGAAAATACATTCTCTAATTTTATATATTTCTATATGAGTCACAAAATCTTTTCCCATTGACTGCAGAAAAACATTTTTTCTTTAAAATGGATAGAAAGAAAAAAGAGAGGAAAACACTGGTTTGATAAAATAAAAATCTGCAAGTTCCTGTTAAATAATAAGATATTATATAGACATACAGAATTAACAATAAGTGTACTCTATTCTTATAGTACACCGAAAAACGACAAAAGAAATTTAACATTAAATTAACAGAAAAGATAAATACCAAAACATGGTAATAAAATTATCATATTCCTTAGTAAGTATAGTAATACTAAAAAATTATGCCTTCAAATTAATGCAAAACATTTTAATACAGTGTACTTGCTACCAAATGGCAGGACATTAAATGCTTGAATATATTAATAGCAATAAAAATAATATATTTTCCATTACAGGTCAATAACCTGTTAAAATTTTTTGAAGTGTCATAAATATGTCTCAGTTAGTTATTTCAGCTAACAAATAAACTAAAACAGAAAAGCAGTATTTAAAATTTTTTTATTGGCAATACTAATTTTAAAATCAACAGCACAGTTATAAGAAATAAGAATAATATAATTAATTTAAAACTGGTCTATAGGCAACAATGTTCATGCTATTCATATGAAACTTTTTTAATTCTGAATCCACATGAATTAACACAATATAAGAATAAAATCAAGTATGTCTACTGCCTTGGCACACATATCTTTCTGTAAAAAACTATTTGGCATGCATTTTCTTATAATGGAAAAGATCGAAAAAATTTTGTACCAGTTTTGAATGTAGGATGCTTTTTAATTTATTAACATAAAAAATAATTTTTACTTTACCCAGGAACTGATGACGAGTTTGAAAAACTGAGCTCCAAGTTGGGATCAAAATTTTCATAATTTACTGGCTTATACAAGAAGTTTCCAACATCTCTTTTATCAATAAGTGACTTTTGCTTTTGAGTTTCAGGAGGTTTAGCCCAGGTTACTTCTAATACACAGTCATCAATCATAATTCCTGAAAAAGCAAAGAATGAATAATTTCCAAAAGGCATTACTTCCAATATTTTAAAATTTTAATTATATTGCAATAGATTTTAAATATTTTTCTATTTGTGTGTGTATATTAGAAGAAATTAGAATATACACAGTGTATTTCATATTGAATGGGATAAAAAGAAAGTATATCTGAGAAAGCTGTAATTACTTTATTTCGATAAATCAAATTTACAGTAAAACTATAGCTATTCAAATTCCTGTAGGTGTTCTATGTGTGCTTTTCCAGTGACACGGCAAATATCTATGTGGGCGAGATAATCTATGTGGTATATCGAGAACTTCAGTTACCATTCAATTCTACAGAAATGAAGGTGTAAACATTAAGTCTTTAACAAGACTACACAGAAAAAAATCACAAGGAGTTAGATCTGGGGACTTCAGTGGCCAACAAAGCAATGGCATATCTTTTGACCCAGTATGTCTAATCCAGCGATGAGGTAGACTATTGTTATGGTACTGACGTAAGTTTTTATGCCAATATGGTACACCACCATTTTGCCAGGAATGAAACTAGGAAAGCTTCCTCCAACTTAGGAAACTACCACTCTGACAGCATATCTTGGTAAAGCACCTATTAATTGATTTTCTCACATAGAAAAAAAAAAAAAAAAGACAAAAATACAACAGATGGAAATGGTGTAGAAAACATTCACCTTTGGAAAATCACGCTCACCACTTGGATTTCCCCTGCCCCCAAATCGTAAATTTTGCAAGAAAAGTGGCTTCCTCCATAATACAAGTCTGCTCACAAAACTATCTATCTCAAGCTTATCTTACAAATTCTCACAGAAAGCTTTAAAGCAGTGGTTTGTTGGAAGGTTTTAACAACTGCACTATCTGAAAGGTGTATGGCTGGAATTGAAGACATTTCCAGAACTTGCACACCATGTTGATTTTCTGGGACTGTAAAAACACTTCATGAATTTTTTCAACCACTTCAGTTTTCACTGCTGTTCATCTTGGGCTGGTTTTCTTTCACAAGCAGCCCATGTCCCAAACTGCTCCACCTACGATTTCATGTTCTGACAATGCGGTGGTTCTTTACTAAATTTCATGCAAAAATGTCTTTGAAAGATGATAAATAATGATGTTTGGGCCTATTCCTAAACACAGTATGCTTTCTTATGCATCGATGGCACCATTTTAATTAAGGCCCATATCACACGGCGTTTGTTTCACACCAACAACTGTTTGGGACAATTTTTCTGCCTGGTTTACTATTGAAAGAAAGACGTGCGCTTTTTCCTTCCTTTCGAAAAAGTTGCAAGTTGTTCGTTTTCAACCAATCAGCTATCAGCGCCGAATGCTGTTAGCTTGTTTGTAATGGAGAACCAGTTTCCCCTGTGTTAACCCCAAAGCGAGCTGTGGTGATTGGCTGTTGTGACAAAGCAGAAAAATTGTTCCAAACAGTTGTCCTTTCGAAACAAACCGACGTGTGATAGCAGCCTAACAGTGCCTCTAGTGACGATTGATGATTTTAGCTGTTGCTAGATAAAACTTGTATAATTGTAGCTTCAGAATTAATAATTTGTTTCAGCTCAGGAAACAAATTACAGAATTTGTACTATGCTGTTTTTCCACCATATTCAATATGAAACAGTCTATTGATGGTATAAAGAAGTTGCAGTCACAGTTTAGTCTAATATTTCTTTTGACATTTTTTACAAACTAACACAGATTAAAAAAGCACAATAAGCACTTGGTTTTGGAGAACAATTTTGGTATCATTAATATTTTTTAAATACACCTTAAGCAGCACTAGCAGGCATTAGCAGTGAGGCAAGAGCAATTCTGAAAGTACTCAGGATGAAATCTCAGATCAGAAGATTTAGTTTTGGTTTATGAATTTTCCACTGGCTGTTAAAAGTTTTGATTCTGAAATTTAGAATTTTTAAACTGACTGAAGGTGAAGAGCAATAGATTATCAAGTGCCAAAGAGTGTGGACGGTGTATAACATAAAAGTGTCAAATCATATATTATTTTCTTTTATTTATTATTTTACTTTCAAGCCAAATCATATGCATGAATCAAACTTTATTTTACATGACATCAATTTATCAAATTTCAAGATTAGAAATGTCTGTCATTACAAATTCAAGAACTTGCTCTAAGTTTAACACATTATTAAAAACCTCTTAATTCAAACTAGTTATCAAATTAGCCAATAATTTCAGTAAACAAAGATAAAAGAGAAATCATTTTAATATTTCTGCATGCGTACAGATTTGTAATGAATTGAATGCACACAGAACCAATGATAATGTGATAGAATATATTTTCTTAAAAGAGAAACTTCACAGTTCTGGAACTTTCCACAAAATTAATTATACGGCTCTTCTCAGTATAACAGAGCACAATCAGTAGATATCACTTTAAACAACTAATAACATTAAATACAGACCAATGCAAAGTGCATCCAAAGAGTGAAGGTCGCACAGACTCTCAATTCTCCAATGTCAGCTATGAATTAAAAACTAAGAGCTAAGCTCTCTCCAGTATTATACAGTCTTTCTCCACCTGCCAAGAAAGCTCTAGTACCTTCAGTTTCTCGAAATTACTGGAAGGCAAACATGGTTAAATTTACTTATAGGGATAAGTTACAGTAATTCAATTACAGTACTAATTACACTCATACAGGGTCTGGACCAAAATTCTGCCAAGTTGTCACCAAGTTTGATGACAATCGCCAGTTTGGCTAATATCTTGACAATTTAGCAAGAGAGCCATATACTTCAAGGTTAAATAGACTTGCTTCTGCATCCTTATTTTTCCAATAGAGCTTCATCTCTTCAGACTTTTCTCGTTGCATCACGCGAAAGATATTACAATTTCACATAAAAATTCACTAACATTATTTATGTATATTCAAAATTTGTAACAATATTTATTAAAAATTTCTCATATAATGATGCTTGCAAAAAAGCATCTTCTCTTATGTACTATTGATAATTACAATGTCTTAAACTGTCTGATATATTCACTTTTGCAGAGAAAGGATATAGTTTAATAGCAGAAGCAAAATTGAATACTATTTTAATAGAAACAGGACGTAGTTAAGTAATAGAAGTAAAGTTTAATTTATCTGCTTCAAGCACAATTTTTTCAAACAGAACACAAAGGGGGAAAAAACTGAGTTTGGAGGAAATGTGAAAATGAAAATTTACCATCAAATTGTTTCAGTGCAGTTTCAGCTTCTTCTCTTTTATAATAATGAATAAAAGCGAAATCTCTCATTTTTTTCACTCTTTCAACTCTCAAAGCACCACCCATTGAAAAAAGAACACGAAGCTGTTCTTCACTAGTCAAGGCGGAAAGATTCCGCACATACAGTACAGTGACCTAAATTCAAAAAAGAATACTTTTATGACATTTAATATGAAAATATAAACTAAAACCTGACACTAAGTTTATAGAAGTATACTCTCATTCATAAACAAACAGCATAATAAAGGCTTTTAAAATTTAGTCGAGGGATACTAATTATATTTACTCACTAAATCACTCATGTAAATTGTTTTTTCATTCAGAATCTCTATATCATTGGCATAAATAGCTTTTATGAGAGTTAATGAATACAATAATGATTATTAATCAAGATTCTAAGAGCAACTGCTCTCTAACTAAATTCACTATGAACTTAATATCAAGCACATTATTAATTAAAATAACATAGTATGACGAAATAAACCTAACTTGCATACACTAGAGCCTTAATACTCTAGCAACAAGGAATGCAATACAATTTTTGGTACACTTCTGTTATCAGAAACGGATTTAGAAATGTATGTATGTAAAGCACGTGGGTATATATGTATGTACACTGCATAAAAAAAGGGGGGTCTATATCTCTGGTTCGACTGGGCCGATTGACGAAATTCAAATTGCGTTTTCATGTCTCGAAAGCGCAACTTAGGATATGTATTAGATTTATATATAGCATTGTTCAAATATAGGTATTTTGACACAAAATCGGACTTTTTCTGAAATGACATGCCAATTTTTTTCCATATTTCGATTTTACAACTCAAATTATGCCAAACTACCAAGTTTTGTACAAATCACAAAAGTAGTTTTTAGAACATTAGTTCTCAAAATTTTAGCTCCTCAATGTTAATTAAGTTTGGCATATATTGATTAATCTCTCTTTTTTTATTAAGCTTATTTGATTCTTCCTTTCACATTTCGAAATTAAGGTTCGTTTTAAATAAAATTCACCCATTTTTTATGATTTATTTTTAAAATTTGTATTTTAAATAATTTTTATAAATTTTCAAAAAAAAAAAAGTGTATTATAAGCTATAAAAATTTTACCAGCATCTTAAAGTATACATATTTCTAAGCAGACCTGCAAAAAAATGACAATTTTTTATTCAAAATTTCTGAAGATATATGTGAATTTATATACTGGCGCATTTTGAAATTTGGCATATTTGTTGAAAGCGATAAAACATCAGATGTGGTTTAAACACTCTGCTTTTGGAAGTAGAAACGATGTCACTTGTTTTCTGCTCATGCAAAATGTAAAAAGTTAGGAACAAGGTGCCTTTTTTCTGCTCCGGCATAATGAAAGGGAAAGATTTGGTTTGGTTTACTGAGATTAAGGCAAAGCACACCAGGGGCTATCTGCCTAAGGGGAGGGATGCTTTCGTGGAGGACCTTTCTAAGGAATACTGGCTTTTATACATGTTACACGTGGGGAAAACTATGAAAACCCCTATGCAGCCAGCCCGTTCACGGGATTCGAACCTCGGACCGAACTGCCATTGTTCAGCGACTTTACCGCTCGGCCGCTGGTGGGCCAGAAGGGAAAGGAAAATTGGTTGCCATATATTAAGAAGTTCGCCAGATGAATTATTCTTGGCCAAACTGTAAAAATTTTGCCAAGATAAATTTTTGAATTTCTCTGTAAATTTTGCAATAAATTTTACAAAATTTAATATCTGGGCATAATCTGAATCATAGAATTGAAAAATGGTAAAAAATTGGTATTTCAGAAGTTTGATTTTGTGCCACAGTATCTCTATTAGAATAATGCTATATATAAATCTAATACATATCCTAAGTTGCATTTTCGTGACATGAAAAATGCAATTTCAATTTTGTCAATCAGCCTAGTAGAACGGGAGATATAGAATGGTCCACCCCCTTCTTTTTGCGTAGTGTACATACATGTAATAAAACTACTCCATTAGATGTAATAAAACCACTCCATTAGATGTAATAAAACTGTATTATTATTGAAATAATACTGCATTATTATTGTTATAAGATGACTTTGCGAAAAGTAAGTTGCAATGTATTTATTTGGTGGTGGTTCTCTGCATTATAATAACTTGAAAAGATTTTAATGCATTGCTTGAAAACTGTGCAGTTAGAAAGATGACTCGGAGGTGAATAACACATAATTTTATTTCTTGATAATGCACATAATCATTATGGGTGTACTATGCACCCTCCAATTTTGCACAGCTTACATGTTAAACAATGGATAAAATTAGAAAAGTAAAACTAGCAGCACGTCAACCCAGTGAAAAGAAGCAGAGGTGAAGAGAGAGAAGCAATGCAATTGACCTTTTTATAGCGAATTCCTTTTCAGATCACAGGATAGTTTAAAGTCTAGATATTGGGTTGAGATTTTATTGGTAAATGTGCATCAAAACTGCAGGTGTTTAGTTAGAAATATTTATTGCTGCTATTTTTAGAATGAAAACGGAAGTTAAAGGGTTATTATTAATTTATTATTTGAAAGATTCTGAAAGCTAGATATTTTATATTTTACAAACGTATATACACATGTGCATACGTGAACACATACATTTGTATACATACATTTCTGAATCCGACCCCAATAACAGAAGAATTAAAGAGCCAAATTTTTATATCAACATCACTTTATCACTCAAAATTTTTTTAAAATTCTATCTTTCTAACAAAACCTGTACAAACCTACCAAAAGATGAAAAATATTATTAAAGGAGAAATTCTCTTTGCTTCTCATAAAGATTACAGTATTTTTGCCTTGAATATGCACTACACTAACAGACTGGGATCCCTCATTCACTGACAGATGAAGGGGAAAAGACAGTTTCTCATTATAGTGGCATTTGTCATCACATTAAAAGTCCCAAAGAGTAACCTTTGGACAATATGGGCATTTTCCTTAAAAAGCCAGTATTTTCTCATAGGGAACTATATACTGTTCAAAGAAAATATGAAATTTTTATAAACAAGGCCATTTGTCCTTTGTCTTGTTTATAAGGAAAAATTTTAAGAAAATGAAAAATAAATCATTAGAAAAAATTGGGAAATAAAGGATATTTTAGTACTCTTCTGTTATTGGGACGAGATTTAAAAATGTATATATGTATGCATGGATGGATGTGTTTATGTATTATATGTACATACATATATATGTGCACATGCATATATACATTTCTGAATGCAAAAGAATACAGATATTTTTCTTTTTAAAATGTGAATTTCAGCTTTTATACATCAGTAGACAATTATTCCCATTCTTTATCTTGGCAGTCCAAATCTACAAACATTATTTCAATAAGAAAACTACTTTTGTAAAAAATTAGTACCTGATGAATCTTTGGATTATGTAACTTGGAGATTTTTTTGCAAAAATTTGGCGACCAACCCTGTTACAGCAACCTGCTAGTTTTCTTCTGGACGCCTTTTGTTTTTACGAAGTAAAGGCATTTTTTTCCCAACAATCTGCTAGCTGAATTACGCTTATGATAGAACTTTTATCGAACAAAAGTGCTTAATCATGACAAAGATTACGTGCGAAATTGGGAGAAAGCGCAGAATCGCCTACTGCTTGCCGCGTTTTTAAGAATTGCATATACACGGTATCATCCATGTATACGTCAACCTATTTTCACTTAAAAAAACATCGCAGAATTGCACAAAAATGGCATTGCGCACACTCTTGACTCTATCCATGTACGCTGCTAAAGTCCTAGCTAGTAACCTTTATCGCCTTACCAAAATGTCACCAAACTACCTGTTAACATATTCCAAAGATTAGCCCCTGATGATTTTTCACTAGATAATATGTCTAGTACAGAAACACAAGAAGACCCAAATAACCAGTCTAATTAATGCCCAGTGATAAGATTACACAAGACAGACAGATCATTTGTTTTTATAAACTACATCTTAGAATATAAAACTGAATTTATTTTGAAATTGTTAGCTAACATATATAAGCCCAAAGTTCACATAAGTTTATCATATTTGTAAATGCATTAATTTATATCATTTTTAAACTGCTAAAGCTTTCAGAAATCTCACACATCTATGAATACACATTATAAATAAAATTCATAATTAGTTATCTTGACTTGTTTAAAATTCAATGAAACTAAATTGATAATCTTCATTAGATAAGTTAGACACAATGCATAATCGTATTCTGAACTACATTTCTGTATGTCTAGATAAAGATGCAGTTAAATACTCTATTAAATATACAAATGAAGGCATAATTACATTAGTAAACATTTTGGAACAATATATATATATATATATAACCTTTACATACAAGCAGCACAAATAGAAGGCGATAGATTTAAATCATGCACATGCAAGGACATATTTCAAGCATTTTTTAATCGCATAAAACACCAGATAAGTAACAAATACATGGGAAAGCATAAGCCAAAGAAAGTCAAGAAAGTCTGAAATGCACAAGAAATTGTTAACATAGTAAATGAAAAGTTTTCTCATTAGTTGAAGAATTACGTAAAGGAAGTAATAAAGAAAAGAGAGAAGATGCATTGCCTCAAGCAACATGACATGCACATCGTACGTTTTAAATTAAAAACACAGACGGATGAATACATACCGAGAGTTTGGAAGACATAAAAAAGCCCTTTTCCACAGATCGCACATACTATAAGGATATAAAAAGGTTATTCAAATCTAAACAAAAAAAGGGGATATCATCATTAGCAAATAATTAAAAAAAAAAAAAAAAATTAGAATGAATCCAAATATTTGCTAAAAAACATATCTCGATGCTAGATTTCGTAGCCAAAGGATATAATAATCCTTCGTTCAAGCTAATTACAAGCAATTCAGCATTATTTTAGCAATATACGTCTTTTGCTATTCTTTGATACTGCGTATAAATTTTCTTCAAAATATTATCAAAACTGAATTTTCAAAGTTTCTTTGTCACGTTGCCTAGCAACAGAGACAGAGAAAGTAGACTGCTGTTTTGTTTTGCACCTGCTAAGTCTTTCTGCCCACAGAGTGACAAGCTCACTGCTGTCTAACTTCCGGCTGTAGCTAAATCTCATACCACCGCAGTATAAATAAATAATAATTTATTAAACAATAAAAGTAAACAAAATATAATTTACTGACAAATATTGTTGAGAAAAGTAATTGTGGACCCTTAATTGTAATATAACTAAAAAGAAACCATTAAAAGAATCTATCTTCACTTGCAGGGGCTCGCAGCCTAAATATTTTTACTAAACGTTATAAGAGTGCTGACAATACAACCCAACACCAACTATAATGAACAATCTTCGCTTACAGTGTAAGAATGCAGTTTCGAAGAATTTTTCGAACGGAAATTCATTTATAAAATACTACGAACAATAAATTTCCTAAATATCAAATAAAACTTATTAATATGTTAAAATGCGAATAGAAAAATACAAATTTTGTTCCAAAACAAATTTTGCAAAATTTCATGTCTGCCATAACAGTAGGGTCGCGATTTTACTAAGAAAAAGTCAGATAAGAAACAATTGAATTCAATAAACTTAAGATATGCTAAATAAATATTTCTCACGTCGTTTTAATATGCATGCAAGCGACCCAGCCGTAAAGTCGCTGAGCAGTGTAGTTCAACCTGCGATCAAATCTTAGCGAACTGGCTGGATGATTAGTTTACCCCACGAACGTGAATAAGAGCTAGTTACCCTTAAAAAGTCTTCCATGAAGGCATCCCTTCCCATACACAGATAGCCCTCAAGTTGCTTTGTCTTACTCAATTAATATAACTCTACGTTTTAATATATTTTCAACAGAAAATGTCTACTAAATCTTTTCCTTAAACTTTTTTTTTTTTTTTTACATACCTAGAATTGGGCTAAGTCGAATTCTACATGGGTTAAATATCTGACCGACCTATACCGATATCTATCTAAATATCTGACCGACCAACTGCGAAACTCAGCACTAACTCTTTCTGTATTTACAAAATAATCTTCTCAAATTTCTGCATTTTGCAAGACGTTTTGTTCCGTATGTTTAGGAGATAAAACACAAGAACCTTAACAGAGAAACACATTATTCCTCCCTGATTAAGTTTTCTCCTTAGTATTTTGGTTCCAACTGTTATAACAGCAAAATATTTTTTCCCACCCTCCTAAAATTTATTTACAACGAAATACTTAGCGTAGGTAACATAATTCTAAACATCTCGCGTTTTACAATTGCATTCATCACAAGAAATGGAATGCACGTCTTTGAAGAACTAATAAAATTAAACTGTAATTTTATTAAAATTTTACGCAAGGAAGAAACCAAGAAATAGCGTCATGTTATCTGGTCAAAGAATATTTACATTTGAATCAGCTTTGTGTAAATATTTTTTTGTTAATGGGTGTGCGAGATGCCGCTAACTTGGAGAATTTATAAATTTCAGCCTATCGTCTGGATTTATCCTCAAATTACGTGGAATTCCACGTAATCAGTCTCCTTTTAGAAAAAAATTTTTCTCTTGATAAAAATAATTTGGTTCTGAAGAAAACAAATGTTGTCGTTTATCTCTATAAACCCTCTGAACCTTTTCTTTGATTATGAAACCTAATAAAATTTGAATCTAAGTATTAAGACTTGCTTAAATCAGTTTTTGGAAAAAAATGTGAAAATTAAAATAAATATTTATCTTGATTTTTATATATGCTTTCTTCACTAATTTTTTATTTATTCTTTCTTATATTAGGGAAATTTAATGAATCTTTCAAATATTCGATCTTGCTTGTATTTCAACAAGCGGAAACCTACGACCCTAAAGGATTTTTGTGCAGGTGGTCACTTAATAAAAGCGATTATTTGTTTTCTAATATTGCTAATTTTCAGAGATTGTGGTCTATGGGAAATGGGTACAATCAGAGATACATATTTTTTTATTCATTAACTATTAACTAACATTAGCACACAAAAACATTTAGCATAAATGACTAGTTTTATTGAGAGATAACTATGTTTGCATACGACATATAAGACGAAGACTTAAAGCTTTAATAGCTTTGTCTTCATTGAAAACAATATCCATCTTTGATCACAATGCTTAACAATAAAATTAAATTAATGGAAAATCAAGTAAGCTCGTATCTTTCAAAAAGTAAAACTGCAGGTTCAGTTAATTAATAAAGCATGCCTGTTTTGACGCAGTTAATAAACTATCTAGTAAACAATATACTTTTTGAAAGTACGAGTATTACAGAATTCTATGAAAAAGAAAAGCATATTAGTATATTAAATTCGTAGATATCTGCTTTCATCAGTCATCATCTTATGAGACTGAGAATTTAATTGCGAAATAAATTCTATTTCACACAACATTTTTGTCCAAAATATTAAGATGGAAGACGAATTAAAATTATAAAAAAACCTTATGACTTAATTCAATTCTTCTCTAAATTTTCCTATGAATAAACAAAAAAGGATTGAATTAATTAATTACTATGTAAGAAGCATTGTATTTCCATTAAAAGTTTAGAATTTGAATTATAATGCGTTATTATGCATTTGAAAAGATTGATACTTACTCTTTTCATAGTTTCATCGTCCACTTGAGCTTCAGGTTGAGCCCAGTCTACAGCGATTTCATGATCGAAAAGTTTAATATTTGCGGCTATCAATTTACGCCTTGCCATAGCGGCTGCCCTATGACTTTCATACTCAACAAAAGCGAAGCCTCTGTACTTTGTTTTATCCAAAATACTGCTGTAGAGAATAACTTTAGATACACCTTCCGTATATTTACTAACTTCATGTTTAATTTCTTCTTTGCTTTTATCCTTCGGAATTCCTCCTATGAATAAGCGACAGTTGTCGATTGATTTGCAAACTCCAATGTGGCGCCCTCGTCTGATTTCGAAGCAATCCAAGCCTTTTATTGCTTTTCCAGCATCTTCAGTATTTGTATATGTTACAAAAGCATATCCACGATTATTTCCGTTAAAATCCATCATTAAACGGAGCTCATAGATTTTCCCAAACTGCTCACATAACGGAACCAATTCATCTTCGAAGACGTCTCTTGGTAATTTTCCGATAAAAATTTCAGATCCTTTGGGTGGAGGAGGTCCAACCCAGCCTGGAGGAGGACCATACTTTCGTTGACCATTCTCTTGAACTATATTATAACCAGTTTTTTCGATTAAAGCTACTAAATTTGCATCTCGAACGAAGATATCAGCCATTTTCAGAACTTCGCCTATGCTTCAAGGATGTAGGTTCGAAATAATGCAGGAAGAATTTGAAAATATCGCCCAAATCAAATTATTAATAACCGCAAATAAAATTAGGTATTACATACGCTTATTACCAATAGAATTTGCACTATCTAGCGGTGGAAATATAAAAAACCATTGGTCATTGGACCTTTTAATTTGCAACCCCGCCCCTTCGCGCGAAACATGACCTCATGATCATTTAACTCTAAATTTTATAAACAGAGTTTTAAGACGCCATCTGACATTAATATTCGTAAATAAAGTTTGTATATTTTTATTATGAAAATGAAACCTCGTTCTTGAAAGATTTCAGTGTTTATAAAGAGATACTTTAAAATTAATATAAGTAACCCGTATTAGTTGCTTTTTTGTAGTGGAAGAGAGGAAGAGAACAACTTAATGAGCATACAAACAGAATTATAGTTTTAAAAAAACTGTACATGTAGCTGAGAAATGAATGTGAGGATTCACTAAAAAGTTAAACACCTTACAAGCTAGTTCTTATATAGAATTTATTAATTCATGTAACATTAGGGAACTATATAATTTATGCAATATTAATGAATTTATGCAGCATTAGTAAAATCTATAAAAACGTACGGAGGAAATCGAATTTTTGCTATTTTTACAAAATTCTTAGTATAATAGAACTTCAATAAGTATATTGTCCGTATTATCTAAGACATGCATTTGTTATACACTGTTTTCCTCAATAATAAAAGATTTGCAATGAAGACTTGAAGCAAGAAAATACATGCAAAATTTCGTATTGAAGCCGTATAAATGATTTATCGGAATATAATGAACACCAGCTTGATGAGGTAACTAGGTAACACTGCGGCGGGGGGGGGGGAAAAAATTATAAAATAAACAATAGAAAATTTTTAATCAATGTTACCAGAGAAAAAATACTGAAAGACACTTTTCAGAAACTTAGTAAGTACATAATAAAATATTTCATTTTGATTTTCTTAATATAAATTTTAATGTGGCAAAATCATTTGCATCTTTTATGCTTAAAGAATTTATGTTATTCTTAAAATTGTATGTATTAGCTATTATATAATAAATTATGTAACACAAATAAAGCACATTTTCTCTTCTTCGTAAATTCACTATACAAAAATAATCTTAAAAATTATAATACTAGATAAATTTGTGAAAATTTTAAAATGAGAGTACTAATTAATAGAGTGATAGAATACTGGGTTTATCGAAATTTTTCGATTTTATAGTTTTATCTGAATGCTCAATTATTCAGAAAAGCATGGGTCAATACAATATTTGCAGAGACATTAGGTATTTTTTGGAAGCCGGAGAGATGAAAAATTAGTAACGCCTTCGCCGGGAATCGAACCACGGACCTCTGGAATTCCGGCCCAGCGTGCTCCGTTACACCACGAAGGCACGCTAGGGAAGTGGGAGAAACACCTTACATACTCTCCTTTTTAAAGGGCGACTAGGATTTTAGGGGACCTAGTCGACAAATCCTGGGTGCGGAGAATCATCATCCACAACCCTTTTATTTCGGGCGCCACTTGTAGAGTCATTAGGTTAATTGGAAGCAGAAAAGATGAAAAAATATGCAACCGCCTTCGCCGGGAATTGAACCACGGACCTCTGGAATACCGGCCAAGCGTGCTACCGTTACACCACGAAGGCACGCTAAGGAAGTAGGAGAAATACCTTATAAGTACGTTAAATAGCTAAGTGCCTACGTTTCATGACGATGTGAAAATGGAGTGCGTGTAAAGTAAAATCTCGCTTTCCTATAGCCCATTATGCCTCAAAATGACATGATTTCGTCACAAAACATAAAATTAAAAAAAATTCTAATTCGAAAAAATCGCTTCGAGGTGCACTGGCTCTTGTCTAGATGCACCTATGTAGCAAATTTCGTAGCAGTGGGTCTATTAGTTTACGCGCAGCGCGAACGAAAGACACACACACACACACACAACCACAGACTCTTTCTTTTATTATACGTAGAGATACTAAAGAAGAAATCATAAAAGACTGAACACATGTTGCTTCAATACTTGCAAGATTCTGAGGGAAGCCAATTAATTTTTTTTCCCTTTCTATGTCATCTTTTTCACTCGAACTTCATCAATATATAAATTCACGAATTCTTCATGTTCCAGTAATTTTTTAAGTTTACATTTTACATACATGCAGTTAGCTTTTTTGTTCGTTGATACATCAAGCTTTAACAGGCCTAGGATTTTTCAGAGATGGTCAATGGATGGAAGGCAGATTACTTTAGAGGCAACTATAAAAAGCAGCTTACTTAATGTATAACGGTTTGATTTGACTTGATTTAGTTTATTATGGCAAAGCACACCAGGGCTATCTGTCTGAGCGATGCCTTCGCGGAGGACTTTCTAAGGAAAACTGGCTCATATGCACATTATACATGGAGAAAATCATGAAAATACCCTCGCATACAGCCCCCTTTGCCTCGGTTCGAGCCAGGTCGGAACTACCAATGTTCAGCGATTTTACAGCTCGGTGGCTGGTGGGATAATGTATAACGAATAAGCAAAGACCAGGATCTTCTAGCCACTTCAACTTTCATTACACATCTTCATTTGTTCCAAAATAAAATGTTCTATTCCTCAGGTTCTCAAGTGATTTTTATTCAACGTATGCTTCCTAGTTATATATTGATAAGTCATAGTTTGATTTCAATGTTTCTAATTATTATTCTTTTGACATTACTCTAAATGTTTTCAAATTCAATCCGTAAAGTAAAATTAGTATTTAAATTTAAAATACTTTAAATACTCCCCATTTCAACAGCTTCTTGTTCCAAAAAACACAGCTGTATTCATGTTAAGTGATACAGAACAAAGTCCGTAATCCGGACTCCTTGGGACTTCGGCGATTCCAGATTAGGGGTTTTTCCGGATTATAGATCATCAATTTAAATCTGGTAAGATGGCAAGCAGAAATTATACAATTAAAAATATGAAACCGTAATTTATGTAATAAAGAGCAATTATGATCTAAAGGATATCAAAACTCACACACACACACACACACACAAACACAGAAAAAAAAAAAAAACCTTATTTGTTTCCTTTTAAACATTTCTTTCAATGTAAGTCGTTTAAGTTACTTCGTTTTTTGTGCTAATACTTTTTCTTTAATTCTATAAACAGACATAATTTCTTGTTCAGTTCCACAGGGTTCGTACACATTTCTGCACACGGAAATTAAGTACTTTTAAGGACCATTAATGAAAAAAAATAAGGACCTATGAGCAAATGGGAACTGAATAAATTCAATTCAAAATATTATCTATGCCTGAATTTTACTTTTGTAATACAATCCTAAAAATAAAATAGATCCCTAAGTAGTATGCATTATTACTAAACATGAATTACTAAACTTATAATTATTAATAAGTTTGAGAATAAAATAAACTTCATGCAGTTTATCAAGTAGCATTAACTATTTTACACTTATAATAGTTGGACATATTTAAAAGAAGATAAGTGACATTTACGTTTTACTAATAGTTAGCTTTATGCTGATATATATATATATATTTTAATGTTTCATTTTGTCACATACTTGGTCAGTCTAGAGGTTTAGCAAATAGTAAGGAGATTTTATGTGAAATGGCATAGGTTAAAATGAGAAGTGAGATCATAATCAGCATGATTCATAACAAAAGACTGAATGTTGTCCCTCTGCTGCTTATCTATAGAGAGACTTGCTGATTGGAACAAGCCTGAAAGGCCTGATGTAGGCACGGTTGGCAAGCATTGAAAGTTAGTCAAGCTCTGCTTAATGCAGTTAATGTCATAGCTTTGTGTAGAGTTCCAGCAGTTGTAACCCAGTTAATATATACTTTAAGGTTCCAATAAGCCATTAAAGTGCCAGAGGTGATAAAAAATTTCATATATATTATAAGTCTCAGTAGATGCAAAGAATAGGTTTTACTTGATGGTGTTGATGGTTACTTGATGGGTGTTGGATGATGGTTCTCCACACAAAGGATTTGGCGATTGGATCCCCTAAAATCCCCAGTCGCCCTTTAAAAGGGGGAGTATATAAGGTATTTCTCTCACCTTTTTGGCGACCCTTTGTGGTGCAGTGGTTTGCACACTAGTAGCGGTATTCCAGAGGTCCGCGGTTCGATTCCCGGCGAAGCGTTGTTAATTTTTAAATCTTTCCTGCTTTCAAAAATACCTAGTGTCTCTACAAACCTTCCCAAACATTTTGCCTAGTTTATATCAATTTCCTTCTCTTTAATTATCGATCTTTTTTGACAATAATTAGAAATTTATCTCAATATGCAAACCAATATTCTCGCTAGTTTCTGTGTGTTTTATCTCCTAACTTGTCAACCTCTCCACAATGTACCTATGAGGGTTTTACTTGATCTTGGTAAAAGTTAAATAGTTCCAAAACCCCTACCCGATAGACAGTGAAGCAAATTATCACCATGTATCTGAAAGTCAGATAAAGGTTTAAATATAGCTTCTTAGATAAAAAGACCTTAGCAACATAAAGACGCATGTTCTGATGCTAACAAAGTCAATTACAGCTCACGTTGACGTAATTAAACAAGAACAGTCAAATTCAAACTAAAAATGTGGACTAGTGGTCAAAGATAATATAATTTAATTTAAACTGTAGAGTCATTAGGAGTTTTGGAAGCAGAAAAGATGAAAAATATGCAACTGCCTTCACCGGGAATTGAACCACGGACCTCTGGAATACCGGCCCAGCGTGCTACCGTTACACCACGAAGGCACGCTAGGGAAGTGGGAGAAATACCTTATAAGTCTAGCTCAGTAACCCTATCATATGAGGAAACAGAAATGGGAAGTTATAGTAAAGGCTGAAATGATAAACAATCGGGTAATTTGCATAATAACTGAACATATCTTTGAAGAATAATTTTCTTCATATATTCGGTTTCTTTCTTCAGCGTGTTTCCTTTTAATTTTAGAATTTTTGGATTTAATTAAGGATTTCTGTTATTCTAAAAAATACTAA